GCGCTCCTTACAGAAAATCCCAGAGTTGTAATGGCAGCCCATTTCCCACTGTTGTTTAGGAATTATATGACTAAATTCATGAATTCATCTTGAAGATGTTTTAACATTAATTACATATACTGAGTTACAAATATTATTAGCTACATACAGCATAGTTATGCTTTAATTGAGGTTTTACTCACTCTGTCTCATGTTTGGTTTTAAGGGATATGAAGCAGTCCTAAGGAGGATTCCTCAAGGCAGTGTGTGTAGGATTGCAAGGACATTAGAATCAATCAGGACATTAGAATCAATCAAGACATTAGAATCAAGTGAGGGTGTTATGCTGAAAAGAAAGGCATTTCCATGAAATATCAAATGGTTACCATTTAATGATGGTATGTACAGTGGCCAAGAAAAGAATGAAAATGAAGACATTATTTAAACCTCAATAATATTGCCTACATTAATCATTTATACCACATGATTATGGTTCAGCATTTGTGCAATAACACAAGACAGGGGGCAGGAGTTACTGTGGGTTTCAGGAAACCACATTCTATTTAGGTAAAGCCAACTATTTAAACAAAAAGTTAACTTGCCAAACCAAGATACATACATGCCGTTATTACTATGACAATAATGACACGTAAGCCTTTCCTTCAGTATTACATTTTCTCTTATAGTTGACATTGTTATAAGTAAATGAATTCATATGTTTACAGTTCAGATTTGATGGCAGTGATTTAGCAATGATGGTGTCTTTAATTTCTTTTAACTGTACTGCATACATCACTCAATCAGCACTATTAATACCACACTTGCCATAATAAATTGGTTAATTATCTAGTAAAGTTGATGTTGCTGTAAAGCTTAAAAATACCACAATATAAAAACCAGTTACAACTGAATATATTCTGGGAAAAAAATGATTCATTATAACTATATATAACTATATAAACTATACAAAGAGAACATTAAAAAATTAAAATTATGATGGAAAGTCCATTCATTGTTTTTATTTTAACAAATTATTACAAATGCATGGATGAACTTGTGTGAAAATTCTATGCAATATTAAAATAAAATTCTATGCAATATAAAAATGCTATCTTATCAGAACTGGTGTTATCTGAACTATCTGAGCGCAAAGCATGCGCTCACTGAACTGGTTATGACACCGGTTGAATCCCACCCTTGCCCGGTTTTGAACAGGCCACAACCTGGTTTTTGGGCACAACCAGGGGTGGGATTCAAATTTTTTAACAACCAGTTCTGTGGGTGTGGCTTAGTTAGTGGGCGTGGCTTGGTGGTCATGTGACTGGATGGATGTGGCTTGGTGGTCATGTTATTGGCCAACTCAATATCACTCACACAGAGGCATGCATCTCTTCGCCTGGCTTCTCATGACTGTCGGGATACTGCAACAGTCGTAAGTGTGAAAAATGGTCATAAGTCACTTTTTTCAGTGCCATTGTAACTTTGAATGGTCACTCCACACAAGCAAAGTACCAGCAAAGGAGGAGAAAAAAACTCCAGAGAAGTTCCTGACACAGGAAGTCTAGTCCTGCCAAGAATGTAATAAGGGTTAATAGAGAGGCAGTTTCTGTAAGCAACACCAGAATGTTTCCTTCCTACCTTCTTTACAGGATTAGGCCAGTAATTTGTTCTAACAACCAGTTTTCTGAACTGCTTATAATGTTAACAATTGGTTCTAGTGAATAGGTACGAACTGGTAGAATCCCACCCCTGGGCACAACCCAGAGGTTGGGGACCCCTGCACTCCAATATCTACTATGCATCATTGTTATCTGTTCTTGTTTCTAATGTTTGTCTTTGTGTTGGTGTTAGTTGGCTTGAATAAGGTGAAGAAAGGGATGGGCAAGTACGCTGTTCATGTGAAATGCAAAACTTTCTGTTTTTTTCTGGCTCTGTAATTGCGGAAGAATAATTGGATGAAAAGAAACCAAGTGAAACAGAACCTGGATACTAAATAAAAGCATGTCTGAATAGCCCATTCTCTACTAACATTTCACAGGATGCATCTATATTAAGCAACAAGAATGCCATGAAGTTCAGCTGTGGAAATGAGAAATGGGAGAAATTGGAGTTTTATTTTTCTTAGAACAAGTTGTAGATTTGTCTCCTGTGGCATCAGCTGTAAACTCTGTGCTCCATATATGGATGCTGTGGGCTTTATTTGAAGGAAAACACATGAAACCACAGCTGATGCTGAGAAGATGGCTTCAAACCAAATGTCAATGAGAATTGTAATATATGTTGACTATTTATGCTTCCAAAAATAAAACCAACATCTTGAAATGAAGAAAGTATATTTGATTGTTCCATTGAAGCAGGATGTTTTCAAACAGGATGAAAAAGCCAATCTTTCTGCAGCAAATCAAATTTGAAAAATAATCAAGAATACCAGGAAGTTCACTGAAATTTTCTAGCATTCAGTGTTCTTATTGCACGCATGCATTTTACATCTATTTACATTCCATTTTCTTATTGCAGGTATACTTTTATTTTACATCTGTGATCAAAGCAGCACTAAGGATAAAATGAGTCATGAAAAATAACTTATGTTGTACAAATTTCAGAAAGTAACAAAAGTCTAGTAATATCATTGCAATGTTTCACACTACAAGCTACTTTAGAGGAATCACCTGAAATGACACACAGGTAGCGTTAATCACTTTCTCTCATTAGAGCAGGGGTGTCAAACTCCCATCACCACGGTGATGTCACATGACACATCGGGACTTTCCCCCCATTTGCTAAACTGCGTGTGGGTGTGGCCAGTGCGTGATGCATCTGGCCCATGGGCTGGGAGTTTGACAGCTCTACATTAGAGGAAGTGTAGAGTAACCTTCCCTGGCATGGTACACATCCAATTAATTCTAAAATTAATTTAGCACACCTGAAGAATTGGAAAAGTTACCTTAATATGATGATTCATCTGCCTTCCTTAAAATTCAACAGTGGAAAATTTAATTGTGGATTTACTAACAGCATATATGGATTCATACATATCAATTCCAAATTTCTGCTTAATAGCCCACATGTTTATCTTGTTCTTTAAATATAAAGAACTCACCATGGTTAGTATATGAGTTTAACTACCATGTGAAATTGTATATTACATAGTATCTCATATTTTTAGGTAAAGTATGCTAAAAGGTATAATCCTTCCTGGTCCATTTTAAACCTAATAATATTCTGAAAAAGCAATATCTAAAGACACATAGATTTACATTTAAGGTACACTCTGATCATATTGAATAATAACACAATCTATTATAAATCAGTGCAGATTTTTTCCCTAGTGATTTTAGTACCTTATTGAAATACGTCCAGATGGTAAACCAATCTGTGTTTAGGAATCTAACAAGAATTTGAGAACATAGACTAGACATAAACTAGACTTAGAATATCAATTAATAGCATGAAAAACAAATCCTGAAATGGGTAAATTCAGTACATCTTTAATTTGTTGTAGTCCTCATAAGTCATTTCGAATACAAAACAAAGACAGATAATATGAGGGATTTTCATGTAGTAAAAAATAGTTAATTCACTACTAAAAAGGGTATGCAAATGAATCTTAGATACCAAATTCAATACTAAAGTTAACAATGGCTGCAGCTTGTGTTTATTGTCCTAACATCGCTGATTGGCGAAAAGACCAGGGCTGAAGAATGTTTCCCTCAAGAACAGAAACACTCCCTTATTAGAGTTCTGATTGTGTTTGAAAGGATATTCAGCTAAAATACTTTGCAGTCATTAAAGCAGAATAAATGAAAATTGGTAGCATCTTGCATCATTATACCTTTAATCTTTTCATAAAAGCCCAAAGTGGTATTTTCTAAAATTATCTTTACCCAGATACTGCTTTGAAACCATTCAAACTTTAACACTGTGTATTAAATCTATCTAAATCTCTGAATAGGACCCACCAGGAAACCTTAAGGAAACTGTTCACCTTTTATGTTCTTCCTGTTTCTGGAATATGTTCCATTTTGGTTGCAAAAATAATTTTATATATTATGAAGGTTTAGTATTTAAATCAGGGGTCTTCAAACTTGACAGCTTTAAGATTTGTGGACTTCAACTCCCAGAATTCCTCCTCTAGTCATGTTAGCTCAAGAATTCTGGGAGTTGAAGTCCACAAGTCTTAAACTTGCCAAGTTTGAAGACCTTGATTTAAATAAGCAGATGTTGATATTTTAAGTGAAGAAAATTTATGATGTAATAGCTTTAATTTGAATAACATGTAGTTACCCATTTGTCCATTTTCCCTTCATACAAATTTCATTTCACATTCAGAATATAGATAATGTATAAGGTAAAGATAAAAGTTCTCCTCGCATGTACGTGCTAGTTGTTTCTGGCTCTAGGGGGCAGTGCTCAACTCCGTTACAAAGCTGAAGAGCCAGAGCTCTCTGAAGACGTGTCCGTGTTTGTTAGATCTGGGAGGATGGTTCAAGAACGGAGGCAAGACTCAGATAGCAACAACAGGTCTTTATTTGTGACTTCAGATCTGAGCAACTAATCCCAGCCGCAGCAGCCCCTTATATAGGGCTGGCTGCGGCTAGGCAGCCAATCAAGGCGATTTGAGTTTGCCGCTCTTGGCAGGGCCAACCGCGGCAGCCCGTTTACTGGCCAATCGCATCAGTCTATGGTGACCAATCATGATCGGCTATCAGCGGGCCAATCAGGTTTGCAGGCTTCGAGCCTGCTAGTCCGGAACAGTGTTCATGTGGCCAGCATGACTAAACACCATGACTAAACGCACGGAACACTGTTACCTTCCCAAAGTGGTCCCTATTTTTCTACTTGCATTTTTACATGCTTTTGAACTGTTAGGTTGGCAGAAGCTGGGACAAGTAATGGGAGCTCACTCTGTGATGCGGTGCTAGGGATTCGAACCACCAAACTGCCGATTTTTCTGATTGACAAGCTCAGCGTCTTAGCCAATGAGCCACCGTGTCCCTACCAGATAATGTATATATAATCCTAAATATCACAGATCTAAAAGTAAAGGGACTTGGATGATCCCTTTTCTTCCATGTCCATACTACCATGAGAAATAAGCTAGATTTCTATTTTGTTAATTCTAGGCTTATACTTAGATATAAAGCAGGAATGTTGCACTTGGCAATTCCATTTAGTAACAGTTTAGTATTTACTTAAAATAGCTGTTTCTAGTTCATGAAGACTTTCATGTAAGTGAAAGTGAAATGATATGAGCAAGAATGGAGGACATTATAACTCAGAGGTGACAAACCCGCGTCGTCATGGTGGTGTCACGTGATGTATTGCAAGTTCCCCCCCTTTGCTAAACCAGGCATGGATGTGGCCACTGCATGATGCATCCGGCCCAAGGGCTGCGAGTTTGATACCCCTGCTATGTCAAGCTTTGCCTAGCCTGCTGTCTCCCTGTGCATATAAGGGTAAATAATGGATTACTCTGCATTTTAAATCTATTGCCATATTTTGTTGGTTCATTTTAGCAAAGATGTAGATTTCCTAGCCTTGTTTATGATCCTGAAGATATTAAGGGTCATGAAAAAGAGTGAGTCTGCTGCCCTAGGTAGTAGATTGTTAGTGACACAGTGGGGCAAGAAATCATTGGTTGTTTAATTGATTATTGTACATTTCTTTATTTTGCTTTGGGTCCAAATAACTTGGGTTTTGCGCACCTTGAATCAAGAAGGTAGCATTTGTTCTTCTGCCTCAGGCAGCAAACTGTTCTTCAAAAAAAGAAAAAATAAAGTTTATGTTTATGTTAAATGAATCAATAATTAAGAACATGCTTTGGGGCTGAAAAGAATAGAATAAAATAGAAAAGCAGTTTGTAACTAGTCTTTAAGTCTTTTCCCTGCTTCAAATTCCTAATTTAGATTCTTATTCTTATTTAAATTATTATAGCTGCCCATTCCCAGAAACATTCTGGGTGGGCAGTTTATAATACCAGAATATACGATTAACAGAATTAACAAAACAAAATAAAAATGTATATTTTTAACACATTCGTCTTGATTCATCTGTAAAATGGGAATTCAGATGACTGCTTTAGGGATAACCAAAGTATATACATATTCATATGCCTATACAACAGGGGAAGGTCCAAATCACATTTTCTCCAGATTAAAAGCTTTCCACTACATAAAAGTATAGCTTAAGTAATCAATTGCTTGTGCTTTGTGTTCAGATGAATTCTCTCTATTATCCTAAGAGAAGCTTCTGTTTATCTGTTCAGTTTCAGTTTTTTTTTTAAATGACCTGCTAAAGCTTCCTGCTCTGGTGTTCCAAGTCCAAGGGAAATCCCTGTGGCACTCAGCCACTGTCTCTCTGGCTTGAGAACACAAGGAATCAAGGCCAGAAGGAAAAACCCTCTGCCTTGGCATCCCTGGACTCATAGAACAGTCCCTTGAGGTACCGGCAGGCACAGAAGATGAGGTCAGCCACTTGCTTTCTCCCTCCCTCCCTCTTTTTCTTTCTCCCTCCATCCTTTCCTCCTTCCCTCCTTCTTTCTCTCTCTCCTGCATGTTGAATCTTTCAGCATAGCAAGTATAGAACATTCAGAATTCTTTTACTTTGTACAAACTAAGAAAAAAAGCAAATAAAAGATGCACGTGAACAAATACATACAGTATAAGCACTGTACGATGCTACGAGTATTAATAATTGGTAAGGTCTACAACATTTTCTAATATAGACATTAATCATGACAACCTTCCCCCCCCTCCACCCCCCAATGTATTTTTATTAGCCAAAATAGTTATAGACCACAATTCAGCGTTCTGAAACTGGCTCTCATAACCAGCCAGCCAAATATGAGGCATAACACACAATAGGATGTAAGGATTTGGGTGGATTAGGGAAAAAAGTAGTTAAAGTTATGAGATGCTTATATGTTCTACTAAACACAATGTCCACAAGCAGTTTTAGGCACACTAGTGCCAAACACAGCTAATAGCCGGGAAGGTAAACTTGGCATGCATCAACGAGATAACACCTTTGTGCATAAATAATCTTAAAATTATTTTATTTAGCATAAAATGGTCGGGAATCATGGAAGCTGGATTTTAAACACATTCTGATCAGAAAAGACAGTATGTTGTCTCATTGTGTACCTCTTGCTTTTAATACAAAAGGGAAAACTACAATTTCCAAGTCTAGAAAAACACCACCAAATTTTATGCCTAACGGTAACAAAGAAGGTTTCTTCCTGTCAGAATCAAACACATTTTTATCACTTTTTCTCAACCTTGCACCAATAGAAAGCACACATAGCAAGATGGTGCAAATCACAATGTACCTGAACACCAACCATAACAAAGTTTTAAAACATACATCGTAATCCTTGATCAAACAAGGACCCTAGTTTTAAATTATGTATTTGCTTTGCTTTCAGCTCATAATTTGAATTTTTGAAAGAAATATTCCTGGAAGCATTTTGTGATTACAAGTGACTCACTAGTGGGATTTACAGATAACAGATGAACAATTCCTTAACATCTGTTCTTCGTAACACTTTGCCAATTGTCTTGGAAGAGTCACAGATGTACAAAGGACAAAAGGGCAAAATAAGCCATTACATGAAGAGATAGAAGCTGCCGCTGGAGTATGAACACTTCCCAAACCAAACCACATCACTGTTTGTACAGTATAAGACTAACAGTTCATATAAGGTCAAATTTTATTCCTCTCCTGTGGCCTTGAATTGTTAACCCTAATAACGTTTAACTAATATTTAACCAAAGACAGGCAGCTAGAAACCCATTAGTAACTGAAAAGAAGAAGTTGCATCTCTTTTTGTGGCTTCGATTGAACTGTATGAGGAGGTAAAGGGCTGACCTCTTTCCTAACTATACAATCAGGATGAAGCAGAAGGATGACTAGCAACAATAACAAGATTGTTGACATGGGAGGAAAACAGTATTAGAAAAGTCCCATTGCACTGTTTAAAAAAAAAGTTTAGTCAGAAGGCTCTGGTCATCTTCATACGTGTGTAATGTATTTTATCTCTATTCCATTCACTTATCCCCAGAGCTCTCTTCTCTTCCTTGCTTCAAAGGTACTGCAGATTTCCTCAAATACGGAGATATCCCTGCACTCTGTTTATGGTCGATGGAAAAACTATATAGTGAAATGGTGAATGAAAAGTACCTTCTCATTTCTACTCTCTCTCATTTTTTACCTTGGGGTTATACATTAAATTGGAAAATTTAAAAAAAAAATGACAAGAAGGCAGAGATGGTATTCAGCAGGTTCTGATCAGTTCTGGAGAACCAGTAGTGGAAATTTTAAGTAATTCGGAGAACTGGCAAATACCACCTCTGACTGGAGATTTTACAGTATCTTTCCCCTGCCACGCCCACCAAGCCATGCCCACAGAACCAGTAGTAAAAAAAAATTGAATCCCACCACTGACCATGGCAGTCAACTTCTACTGATGAACTGATTATGCGCTACTAAGTTGGAATTAAATCTTAGCAACCACATAGAGTTTCTCCAGAAGGATCTGGATTGCCCTGGTCCTTCAGATACCATTGCCAAAAAGGTACACAGAAATATACATAAAGTCATCAGAATTAGCTACACTTCAAAGAGACACTCATTAATATATATACTGTAGAACAAAATTAGGTTGAACTGCACTACATACATACATCAACACTAAGAAATATGGTATGTCTTTTTTTTTGCATTTAAGAGAAAGCGGCAGTGAAAAGTAAGACAAAAAACAGGAGATTGATTAAATTGTAATAAAAAACAAAAACAGGTATGCATGGTCTTCTATTCAATAAACAGAAATAGGTGGTGTCATTATAATGATTGGAATGCATATTTTGCTACACGAATTTCATCTAACTTTGGACTAACTGATTTGGGCTGCAAAAATCCGGATAATCATTAAATGGTATCAAAGGGATAGAGAAACTCCTAATTTTCACATTATATGTGAACAACAATGATATGTTCTGTCCATATAGTCTCCCCGTGCAGTTAAGAATCCTGATTTTTTTTTCTAATGGATAGATCCTATAAAACCTCATTATATACACATGGATCATGATAGGAGTAAGGCTACCATGAGCTATATAATAAGGCTATAATGATGTAGTATTTTTCTCCTCTTGCCTCTGTTCCATCTATTTGTTCTCATTATGTGCAGCAAGTTCTCTGTTCTTTCCATCTTTTCATCATGTTTCAGTGCCTTGTTGACTAAAATCTTGGGAATTAACTTTCCTATTTCAAATAAAATTATTTGAAGAGAAAAAGAAACTTTATCTTCTTTCATCAGATATACAGTTTATGCCATCTCCTCAGAAAGTGAATTTTTATTCCCCTTACAAGTTCAAGAGAAAAATGCACATATAAGAGTATATGAAGATACTTTCTTTGTAGCCATTATGTTTAAAGACATAGCCAGGTTTGCAGAGTCCTACTAACTATTTTGAGACATATGGGTTATTTTATTTATTGATTTATGCCCTGCTATGTTCAATGGACTCTTGGGGAAGCTATACAGTATATTTTTTAATTAATTATTTGATTTCTATAGCCACCCATATCAATAAGTGACACTTTTTAAAGTAGTCATCCTTTTTTCCCTCCCTTTTCAAATCTACGGATCTTGCAATGGAATACCAAGTTATAGACTCCAAACACAGTATATGTAAATTTTAACCTGGAAATAAGGAGAAACTTTCTGACAGTGAGAACAATCAACCAATGGCACAGCTTGCCCCAGGGGTGGGATTCTACCTGTTCGCTCCGGTTCTATAGAACCGGTTGTTATTCTGCACAGTTCGGAGAACCGGCAAATCGTTCCACTGGCTCGCCCCACCCCACCCACTCACTCCTTACCTGGCATGTGCACCATCCGACTTGCCTGTCTTTGGCAAGTTGCTATTTTTCCTCTTTTTTTTCCACAGCTGTTCTGGTGTGCCGGGAGATTTAGATTAGCTAGAAAGCAGGAAATCGTTGGATTTCTTGCTTTCTAGCTAATCTAAAAGCAGAGCTGAACTTTTCTTAGGACTAAAGCTTCTATTTTATGATACAGACTCAGTCAATAGATTGCAAAAAGGTAGATCTCTGAGTGATTCTGTGATTCTGTGAGCAACTCCTGCCTGCTTTGCCTGATTTTGGATAAAAGTTGCTCTTTTTCAAATAAAAAATTCAATATTGACATAAATATTTACAATATTTACATACAAGCCATGCCCAGTCAGCAAGACACACCCAGCCAGTCATGTGACCACCAAGACACATCCACAAATTAGGCCATGCCCACAGAACCGGTTGTTAAGAAATTTGAATCCCACCCCTGGCTTTCCCTCAGAAGTTGTGGGAGCATCATCACTTGTGACTTTCAAGAAGAGATTGGACTGCCATTTGTCAGAAATGGTGTAGGGTCTCCTGCTTGGGCAGGGGGCTGGACTAGATGACCTACAACGTCCCTTCCAACTCTAATTATCTGATCTGATTAAATTTATTATATTTTTTCTATATAGCTTGCCATATAGTTTATTCATCAGGTACCCAGAAAGCAACTGAAATAATTATTTGTAATGAAGTTGCTACATATTACGAAAGACATATGCAGACAAAATAAAATAAAATTTTGCTAAACAAAATAAAAAATTGTTTGGCAAAATACAGAATATGAGTTCCTAAACTATGATTTTAGAATTATCTATTCAGTTTGCATTATGGATTTTATATATGACTTGGTTTATTTCTTTAACATTCTTTCTGGAGAAGATTTTAGTATTCATAAAGCCTTTCAGAGTGAGGAAATTCCCCTGTAAAGATGAGAAGTAGTGTTGGACTAGGTGCAACAATACACAGAAGTTAGTTTTGCTTACATCTTACACCTGAAACAATTGTAAGTTAAAATTTCCTAGAGGAATATTTCATTTTTTCTTCTCCAGAAACATTTGAGTGAACATCAGCAATTTCAATTATATTTCATGTCAGAACTACTTTACAAAGGCAGGGTTTTTAAATTTAAAAACATAGATTTTATAATACTACTATTATGAATCAAGCATTTAACTCAGGCATAAAGCAGAGGTAAGTACAGCAGAAGTCTACTAGCAATAGTCTAAAGCAGTTGAGCCATAAAAATGAGCCACTTTATTGTAGCAGCATTCCAGGGAGAAAATATTAAAAGTACAGCACAGCAAAATTTGAAGGAAAAAAAGGGTGGTAACTGAATTTCATACAACATAAAAAAGATAAAATGAAAAATTATGTGCATAAATTATTATATTCAACTAAATCAAATCATCAAGCCAAACATAAATGAGGCATATGTGCATTGCATTGTATCCATCTACATTTGAGAAGAAGGCATATTACAGGTAATCCTTGACTTACATTCATTTTTTTAGTGACCGTTCAAATTACAGTAGAACTGAGAAGAATGGCACAACTGGTTTTCACACTTAAGACTGAAGCATCCTCATGGTCACATGATCAAAATTCAGTCAGTTGACCACTGGTTCCTATTTATGCTAGTTGTAGTGTCCCAAGGTCATGTGATCATTTTTTGTGACCTTCTAACAAACAAAGTCAATGGCAAAGCCAAATTCACTTAACAACCACATTACTAATTTAACAACAGTAGTAATTCACTTAACAGTTCTGGCAAGAAAAGTTGTAAAAAGAGAACTCTCTTAACAACTGTATCATTTGACAACAAAAAATTTGGGCTCAATTGAGGACTATCTGTACTACAATACATATTTAGCCGGAGGTTAAAACCCATTGAGTTCTGGTTAATGCAAATGGAATGACGCTCTTTGAGAGCTCTATGAGAGAATGTCCAATATAAAGAAACAGTTTTATTCAAATGGAAAGATGTGTGTATATATCTATTACAGTCTGTATTGACTCCTGGTGACTCCCTCAACAAGTCCCTGCAGTTTTCCTATATAGGTATTTTGAAAGAAGTTTGCCACCATCTGTTTCCAAGGTCACAAACTGGTTTTGTGCCTAATATAGGACTAGAACTCTTGATCTCACAGTTTCTAGAGTAGTTCCTTAACACTTAATGGATTTTCAAATAGAAAAATACTGAAACGAAACATACTCAAAAAATGTTACAATATGCTGTTTTCATTCTACAAGCATTCATTGTGACCTTTATTTTACAGAATAATTAGGAAAAGAGAATAATAGAAGAAAAAAAGTGTGTGTGTTTACGTCTATGTAAGCAGTCCCACATAATTTTAACGAAAAAGAAGAATCAATACTCTCAAACTCCATCCATCATTTTGAATTAACATAAACTTTTATTAACATCTGAAGGGGAGGGCACATATATTTGTGGACCAAATTTTTGAAAAAGGAAACATTCGAAATTTTCAACTAGTTCTCTATTCCCTGTACATCCTGAATTTCTACCATGTCTATTTTGAAACTGAGGGAACTTTTAAAAATCTCTTGCAATGTGTACGTTGATCTATTTTTCAGAAGGGAAAGGGGAATAAAAATTCTAGTGGCCAGGCTAAAAACACTTAAGGATGCTTGAAGTAGCTATTTGGATTCCAGCCACCAACTGCAGTAGATCTGAATCAACAATAAGAAACCTATTTTGCCACCTCAGCATCAATATATGTATAGAAAAAAGCCACAAAGGATGGCTAGAAAACAATCTCAAATGCAATCAAATGCACTGGGTCTTTAGGTGTGTGTGTGTGTGTGTGTGTGTGTGTGTGTGTGTGTGTGTGTGTGTGTGCGTGTGTGTGCATGTGTGTGTGTGTGTGTGTGTGCATGTGCATAGAAATATCAAATTGGAGTAGAAAATGTGGGTCTGCATTAAGAACAGCGCATTTGTTTCTTACGTTCTCACTTTGTTATTAATAGATGTACTACAAATAAGTTAGCCTTGGAATGGACGTCATTGGTTATCTGTGACAAGGTTTTTAATACTGCAGGACAAATCAATACCAATACAAATTAAGCAATGTTGTGTCAGGCTTGATTTCTCAGGGAAGTCAATGAGGCAACCTCCATTTCTTACAACCAGAGTTTGGCTCTGCAGTTTAATGACCAAAAGGGTACTGGAATTATCACTAGTTTTAATGGAATAATTTTGCAGTAATCCAATTGCATTATCCCAAAATCTTTGTCACAAGAATCAAATAATAAATGGATTTTATATTAATCAAATTATATTAATATATTTCTATTGTTTTATAAACATTTTTCTAGTTTGTGTAAAAGGAGTCATCTTTCACTCTGGCTTTTTTTGTTGTTGTTTAAGTCATCCATAATTCTTATTTCACACCTCAAACTATTTGCTTGTATAAAAAGTTAATGGGAATATAACCATTGATTTCAGTGGTGCCAGTATTCCTGCCATAGAAACTCAATGGAGCCCTCTAAAAGCACAGGTAATGAGAAGGTTATTCTGTATTGGATTATGTATATAAATCTTTTATTCCACTTTAGTATGTGTACAAACTGATGCTCCATTTTCTTATTAAGTCTGATCTAATATTATAATATCAACACAGCTATACCTACACTGAAAACAGGTATTTTTATTTGGGTTTTGCTTCTGACTGAACTCTTTAGTCTAATTCAGAATATTATTTACACTCTCACACACTCAACGCATATTCAACATGTATCTTTATTGATACAAACATACAGCAAGAAATGTGGCCATATGAGTTATTCCTACTGAAGACAGAAGCTTTTTCTGTAGTGCCTATCTATGTATACCTATGCAAAGATAGGGAGGAACAGCTTCTATAGTAGCTTGGCATCTGGAAGGGCATTTGGCCAGTAAATGCTCAACTCCATCCAGTTGCTCTGACTTTACCCCAAATTAAGGGATTACAGGGTTATAAAAAGGGAGCTTCTATAGAAGCTACAAAAACAGAGTACATATCTTTAAAATTAAAATGTCAGAAGATTTTTAACCCACATGAAAAAATAAAAGCCCCTTTCTGATCCTGGTGTCAGAATAATGTAGTTTTCACAAGAACTAACGGGATGCTCAAAATAAATGGAAAAGGAGAATATGTAGAGGATATGAGTCAGAAGCCAATGTTTTTACCACAAAGACCTCAGTAGCTGCTAACCCTTGTCAAAGGTCATGAAGCATTTAGTCATCAAGGTTTTGATAATTGTCTTTTACCACCTAATTTTCTACAGAACAAAATATACAGGGTTCTTCTTTCCTGCATTTACTATAAAGTGGTTCTCATCCAAAATTTGAAAAAAATTGGCTTGAAAATGCCTGTTCTAATCCATCAGACACTCGATTTTTTTTTTTTTACAATTTGTTGCATATGGATCTCATCATATTAGTGAATAAACCCATATGTAACTTCACTGTGGATTTTATGTCTGGACAAATCTAGAAAATGTGCGGCTTAACATGTTGGAATGGAACATCAGTTCTGAAAACTGAAGCTTCAGTTGACGATAAGGATACAGTGCAGCCTTCCTTGTTTTGCTTAATCCAAAATAGGCTGCTGTTTGGAAAGGCTATTTCAATTTAACCATGAACTGTACCATTAATATTAGGAGAAGCTAGTTTTGATTATTGTACCTGGGATATTTACTATGGAAATACTGACTTGGACAGCAAATTTATATTTATTTTGTCGTTCTGTTTGAATGGCTGTGGATTACTAGCAAAAGCAATTAACAGTATGGAGACTGGAAAAGCAATCCCTGCAGCTCTGTATTTGAGAATGGTTCATTCTAAAAGATTCAGTTCAACTGGTTTGAAAGTGAACAGATTCTAAGAAGAAATTAAAAGCCCATTTGCTTCTTCTAATCAAAAACTCAAATATAGATAAACTTTCTCCCCAGTTTTCTCTCTCCCCCCCACAACATCAAGGCCAACAGAAGACCGACAAATGGATCTGAAACACAATGCCTGGTAAAAAAAAAAAATGTTGCTATAGCATCTATAATTACACTTTTTCAGTGATGCTGCCTGGGCAGACACATGTCCATGGAGGACAAATGGGATTGGCAGGGAAGAGACTTCTTTGCTGCACAATGGGTTAAGATCCATTTGTGTAGCTGGCAGAATTGATGTGATTATTTTTTTTAAAAAAAGAAATCAGGGTGGCATATGTTGTTGACATATGGCTACACACTGCCATCTGGGTTCAGAAGGAGATTTGGGTTCCCAAGCTGTTGCTGAGCAAAGCCAAGAACATTGCTAGGTGCTAGGTCAGACTGGTTTGGGAAGGTTCTGCCAAAAAAAAGAAAAAAGAACCACCTCTGGTTGCATTATTTACTTCATAATATCAGGCTGCCTGCATGCCCTGTACGGTGAAGGTATATGCAAGAAAAAATGATTAGACCCACCAATAATCTACCTTTTAGTGTTATTATGTCCGTGGAATATATGTGTATAGACACTTACGGTTCCCAATACTTTACACACACAAAAAGAATATCTTCAGCAAGAGAGGAAGAAAAAAAAAGGATTTATGTGTAAGCATTAATCTCTATTAGCAAGCAGCTATAAGGAGAAAAAACAAGATAAGGCATCTGCATTGAAGAATTTATAATCTGTATTTCTCCTATTAAACTAAAGGATGGAAATATAAGAAGATGGTTTGATCTTCCCAACTGTTTCAAAATTACACATGGAAAACAAACTGAATGCATTTCAGAATTTAACAATGTTATTGCTACTGTTAAAAGCTATGTTTCTGTAAAAATAAAAAATAAAAACGGAAGCAAAATGGCGGATACTTGAGAATATTCATAATATGATATCAACAAAATCAATTACAAATTTGATATTAAAATTCCCAGTTACTAATTTTAATTTTAAACTGAATCTTTATTTTAAGAAAACAAGGAATAACCCATTATGATCTCTAATCATTCTGGAAGTTTAGAATATTTATTTCTGATTACTTCATCTTTGTTTCCGAATTTATTTGGTAATGCTGTGAAAACACAGGGTTACCAGATATAGGGAGAAAACCAAACTGATTTCTTTAAATTTTGAAACAGAAAAAGATACTAAGAAAGTGTTCTTTCTCTATTACTCAGTCTATTTGTTAATCATTGATCATTTTCATATAATGGTAGCTTTGTAAACCTACTTTACAAATATCAGTAGAGAAAATTTAAGCAAGTATTTTTATTAACTTCAGTAGAGTTTGGAATAATTACTCAATTTCATTAATTCTCATTTTAAATTTTCTGCCAGTCTCAAAGATAAATTTAAAGAAAAGTACTTCCACTTCTGTTTTAACAGATCTGGTCAAGGGAAAATAGAATTAAGGCATTTAGATACCTTACCCTCATGTGGGCAGATTTTAACATGCTCTGAATTCAAATGCCAATTTTAAATCAGCTTTTAAAATATTAGTTGATTAATTACACTATTGTACTCCTAATAAAAGCGTTTTTAAACATACTTCATTACAATAACTACCAAAATAGGAAACTTTAAGACCAAGTTTGTAATTAACAGATCATGTATCATCTAATATACTATCATATTCGACTTTTCATCTTGCACTGAATTACTTAAAAAGTAAAATAGATTTTGCAGTTTCCTTGTATTGGACATGTAAAATAAATTGATTTAAATAATGTTGTATTTTGTTTCAAGTTAAATTTTGGAAACCCATAGAACAAATTTGAGATTAGCATCAGTTATTCAAACTTGAGAAGCCACTGCTAGAAGTTAAGAAATAAAAATCAATAATTGCAAATCTATTAAATTGGATTGATAGCAATACATATTTGGTTCTCATATTCCCTAAATAAATTTCCACTTATGCGTGCATCTATAAAAATCTGTGAATACATCTCAATTACATATTCAATGAGATAGTGACCATTATTGCCAGGACAACTAAATAATAATAAATATGCTTTTCAATCATATTGATGCAAAAATCAAAAATGATAAATACATATTTATTGCATTAAGATAACACATTATGAAAGAATAATTTGCTCATACATATAAATATTTCATGATCATTTTCTATGAAAAACAAATAAAATGGACATTATTACAAATCAAAATCTCACATCAAAAGCTCTGTTTTTATACTTTAGATCATAATCACAGATTAACAGGCAAAAGATATTTTGGGTAAAGCTATTTGAATAGAACTTTTGGATACACTCTGGAAAACAGCAGCTGACTTCTTTTTAACACTAATTTGAATAGCCCTTCCCATGTTGTTTATAACACAAGACTCTGAACCATAACTTAGGGAGAAATCAAAACCTTGTGGACTTAAATATCTCCTTGTTTATTACACAGTGAATGTCTTATTCATATTGACCCAAAATAGGCTAAAAAAGACTAAAAGGTCAGAATAGCTGATATTTTATGAAAACATTTAACTGAGAGTAGGAGATTTAAAGAAATAAAAGAATCCCCTCAAAATCTATTATTATTCCCCAGGAGTCTCTAACAAATACAATCAAAGACCATAAGTATCACTTACTAAAACTCAGACAAAATAATTTCTTTCCTAAGATATCCACATAGCTTCTCATGCACGTCTGCCTACCTTCTTATCACCTCCTTTCCTTTTCTTCTTTTTCTCCCCCTATTCCTTTCTCCTCCCTCCTACAGCTATTACTTAACCTTCAGGTACTCATTTAAACAACCCACCAACCAGCAATAATGATCACATATAGTTACTAGATTGCTAAGTAATCACCTTGCCTGCTGCGTTAATGTCAGTTGTCTTTTGCTTATGTACATGACATTGCTTTATCCTTCCCGTATGTTAAGTGTGAATTACTGTTTGTTTGGTATCAGCTATTCTTAACTGCACCTGGGCTCATTTTCAATCCTTAAAATAAAACAAAAATTACCAAGGCTGGTACATACGTGAATGCACACACACCAAAGGATAATCAAGATCTACTCTTATCATTCTATCACAACTGTGAGACTTATAGGGTAATGATACTGATGGATAATCAAGCCCACCCCTAACAGCCAGTACTATATATACAGTCTTATATTTTTACAGGTTCCCTTAGTCTCAATCAGGTGACTCTTTAGTAAATAAGAGTTACTAACCAGTGTTCCCAAACAACTCAATAGGGTTTATGAATACATAAAGCTGAAAACTCCCTTTCCTTACTCTGAGATATGTCTGGCCCCACCTTGGCTGGTTCAAAAGAGCTCTTGGAACTTGCCTCTTTTGCCAGACATATGGGTCAAAATGGTAGAGAGTTCTGCAACTCTCGTTGCCTCCGAAAGATTGCTTTTCTTATGGCATTTGAGTGTGTTTTTGTTTGTTTGTATTCTTTTAAGCCAGCCAGCAATCCATAAAGAGTCTGCAAACTCTAATAATAAAAGATAATGATGATGATGATGATGATAATAATAATAATAATAATAATAATAATAATAATAATAATAATAAT